TTGGGCCGAAAGTATCGTCAAAAAATGTAGAACTGAAAAATAAAAAGAAGCGTCTTGTATGAACTTAAGCAAAACAGCTATTTTACCCTTGATCGTAAAGGCAGCAGTATTGAACTTTGCAAGTCAAGAGAAATGCCCATATATCTCTGCAATGCCAACAGTGAAAGGTAAGAAAATTTTCGTAGAGGAATATAAACAATACTTTTAAAATCTGAAAAAAAAAAAAAATAAATAAATAAATAAATCATTTGGGCATGAAATTTGCAAATCCACCTATATGACCAGTCCAAGATGGGATTCACCCTCATGAAAGGCGGCCAACCGGGTGAGCTTGGTGAAAACTGCTCTTGCCCTACCTGAAAAAAACACATTTTTTTTTTCTTTGAGCTTAAATTAAAAATTACAATGAAGCGAATGCCGAATACATACAGCAGTAGGATCGCCAATTCGAACACCGAGGAAAATAGCTCTGATTGGTTTGGCTTTAAAAAGAGCCTCCAAGCCCGACTTGAAATCCAAATGACTTATCTCCATCTGCAAATTGTAGCTGCAATTTGTAGAATTATAAACCAATTATCAAATAAAAATAATAAAATTGCATTACTGCAATTCGAATTAGTAACTAATCCAAACTTGTACAAATATATAGTCACATACATAGAAGCTATGTCATAAGTGAATGAGTTGATTTCAGGGAAAGTAGACGGGCTCTCGAAATAAATCGTTCGTATTGGAAATGATCTTTCATCATCATCAGCAGACAGCTTCTTGCAATGCAAATAATAGCCTGCTCGAAGGAGGTGCAACAAAACCTACAAGACCAGAAAATAGAAAATTCCCTTTGTATTTCTTGAATTGACGTCATAAAGAGAGGTTAATGTAAAGAAACCAACTTACGGTTGAATCTTCTCCACCGTTAAAGCTGAATGCAACCTCCTCAACACTGTAATGGAATTAGTTGGCGTTTTTGTCTTGTTATTAACCGTATGTCATTAGATGTAAGCTGAACAACTATAGGAATACATCACTGTTGTGCTCTAAACAGTGAGAAGTTAAAAACTTAATAGCCATTCAGCTCATCTTGAATGTTCAAATGCTTATAATTCTATGCCGATCAAATGCTTATAATTCTATGCCGATCAATGCTTATAATTCTATGCCGATCAATGCTTATAATTCTATGCCGATCAATGCTTAAACAAGAAAACTGAATGTTGAGGAAAGTGAATACGATCCATACGAGTAGAGAGCAAGAGCCCTTTGGATAACACGGATGGCATTGTTGTACTTTGTTTTCAATCTCGTATCATCACTTTCGCAAATCGCTTTATCGATCTCCATCCTCAACTTATATCAGTCAATCTTCCTAAACAGAAGTTAATAAAGAAGTTAAAGAACACATCACCATAGATAAGTGAAATTTTCCAAGCCCATCAATCATAACAACAAGTGTACATATAAAAATCAAATCTTGCCTGCACAGTCTTGGAGATTTTACTTTCCAATATAAAATTCACTTATTATTTTTCATGTGGAAAATGATAATTTCTATGAATCTAACACACACTCAAAACATCAAGAATCAATATGCAACCACAACCAAAAGGGCCCATCTTAACAGGAGATTTAGCAATACAAGTTCTCACCTTGAGCTGAACAAATCAGACAGAATGAGGGCAGTTTCAAAAACAAAAGGAGTAAACAACAAGAGCTGAATGAATGTTCATAGCAAAACTCAACAAACAAATTCTATCAAATTACAAGTGTGGGAGGAAATTTCTTCCCAAATTCCACTTAGGAAATTTCGAAGAAAAAATTAAAAAAAAAATAACCACAAGAAGCTACGCATTGACTTATTAAAAACATAATAATTTTCCAACTAAGATGAAAAGTAAAGAGTCTCAATTGGCGACATTACAAATCTAAAGCAAAGGGTTTTGAAAGTCCGAACTTTCAATTCAATCACTCAAACAAACAAATGAAGAGCATCCATGCCTCTATAAACTGTAAATGATACATAAATTGTTTTATCTATCATAGAAAACATCAATTCCGACCTTAGCTCAGTTGGCAGAGCGGAGGACTGTAGTGGGTGTAACCCGTTGGATATCCTTAGGTCGCTGGTTCGAATCCGGCAGGTCGGATTTTCTTTTTTATTTTTTATTTTCTTTTTCATTTTCACTTTTTAGTAAATTTCACTGTGCCTGAGATGTACATTTACTTACGGGCTATAAACTAATTCTACCTTAAAGACTTTGGGCTCGTAAGGCCCACATAAAAAAAAAAATACTAAATAACTAAATTACAAATCTACACATTTCCAAACTTATTTGCATGTGTACGGCATTAATCCTTTTTAATTACGTAAATACTAAATAACTAAATTATTATGGATTAAAAATGGAGCAGTTTTTACATTCCGTAATTGAGGGACACTTAATCCGAAAATTGTATATAAGATAAATGCTATGTAAATAATGCATTTTACTCCCTCATCGAGAACTCTTCCGTCGCCCACATTTTCTCCACCTGGAAATTCTCATCCGCCGCCTGTCGACCCTTGCACCTCGTTCGTCAGACGTCACCTTCTCTCCCACCACCGTTCGAGTCTCCGCCCTCTCCCTCGGCATCGGCCTCACTGGGTCCCCCGGCCTCGTCGGCACCCTCTCTATGTTCTCCAACGGGACTCTGAGGGTGGAGATTTTAAAAACTCGAGTGAATGCGGATTCGTCTATGGACAAGATGTTCTCACCGACTGGTATGTTAGCAGCTCGAGGGGGGTAGGGGTATGTATGCCTTTTCCGGAAGGAGGGGCCGTACGGGGTGGTCGAGAAGGATAAAGCGGCAGCGGTGTTGGCGGATGACTGGGTTGAGAAAACGTTACAAAAACACAACATATGTTGAACATATATTAACTAGATAAATGTGGTTCGATAAATGTTATGTCTATAAAATTGCAACATATACTAAATATATAGTCACAATTATGGTTAGATAATTGTTATTTATATAAAAGCGCATCATATACTGAACATATACAGACTAAACACAACATACATTGAAAAACGTACTGACTATAAACACAACATATAAGATAAAACATCGTCTGGCTTAGGAGATTTGCCATCGTCCCCATAGTATGGAAATCCCAGAAGCCAATAGAAAACATGGGCATGCCCCCATTAATACAGAATATGAACAAGCAAAACACAATTTGCATTACCATGGCACAAAAGATACAAACCTGAGATTAAACCAGTGTTCTATATAACAATATGAAGACCAGATTAGAGGGGTAAGGTTATCGCTAACAAAGTATAACAAATTGAAATATGAGAAATGTATTTTATTCAGTCCCCATTTGTAGTGAGACTTGCGAAAAATTACTCCAGGGCGGTTTCTGACTATGCACGGGCCGGGGCTGCGGTACATGTCTCTCGCATTATCTGTTGGCACCCCCCACCGACAGGTTGGGTAAAAATAAATACCGATGGCGCCCATAATAGTACTACGGGGATGAGCAGTGCCGGAGGGCTCATACGCAATGAGACGGGAGCGTTGAGTGCGGGATTTTTAATAAATATTGGAATTTGCACCGTAACGGGTGCTGAACTTTGGGGACTTTTTCATGGATTATTTCTGGCTTGGGAGTCGGGCCATAAAATAAATTTGACGATACAAACCAATCCCACGATGAATCTCGAAATAAAGAAACAAAGAATGTGCGATTGAATCAGAACAAAAAAAATATTACGAAAAACCTAAAAAAATTGAGATTCAGAGGAATGAAAACTACAAAATCAAACATATCAACTACTGTCATAACAATTATCTTTAATTAGGTCAAGCATACTAAGAAAACAAAACAACAGCAACCAAACATTATCATAAAAAAAAAAACACAAACAAACTCCAAAGATATCAGCAAATCCAGATTCAGAACAAAGCCCCAAAGATTACATCTAAACCCTAAATCCAACCTATTTCAAGATGAGAAATTTGTCAATACAAACCAATCCCACGATGAATGTCGAAATAAAGAAACAAAGAATGTGTGATTGAATCAGAATAATAAAAAAAATATTAGGAAAAAACCTAAAAAAATTCAGATTCAGAACAAGTGCCAGAGATTACATCAAAAACCCTAAATCGAAACCGAAACTATAATGTGCAATTGAATCAGAATAATTACCTCAAAAACCCACAATGAATGTCGAAAAAACATAGAAGATAGAATGTATTACGATTGCATAAAAAAGATTAGGGAAAAACCGAAAAGAATTGGGGAAAAAAAAAATTTGGACCATTTCTCGATTTATGCGTGTCATCCTTGCGCAGGGGCCATGCTAATCTTCTCTGTATCGTTCCAATTTTATCGGATGTCCCCGAAGGGACGCTCTCTAAGGTAGAGGCAGGGTAATATTAAGGGACAGCAGTTGATTTCGTTTTCTGATGTGGGACAAAAATCGAGAGTTTGTACTTTCCCTCTTGCATGTATATGGGCTGATGGACTTTTGGGCGTGGGCTGGACTTTATTAGTTAACGGATGGACTTGTCTTGAGAAGTGTAGAGAGCGGATGGATGTGGATATATATATATTAGTTACTATTAAAATGTAATACAAAATAACATAGTATTACTTAGATTTTTATTTTTTCAATTCAAATATATATTTTTATATCTTCCTGTAAAAAAAACTTTTCCCCAAAGATTTCAAAATCCACAACAACAGGCTATATTAATGAACACATAATTACATGCGCCTAACTAGTCGAGAGACACCGGCAACGGCAGGAATGAGAGAGGCGTACAAGTCAAGACGACTGTAGCCTAGAAACTACTAACAACGCACCCACGAAATTAAAAAAACTAGCAAAACTAGAATACATTACTTCCATTAGTGAAGAATACTATACTTCCCAAGTAGGAGAAAACCCACAAACACCAAAAGGAACACAAAAACAACACAAGCTAATAAGTTAAAGCCCTCCTCACCAACGGATCTAACTCCGAAACACCACACCTCGAACCAACTCCAAGGTTATCAAAACAAGGGCAGTTCCACGGCCCACAGCCCACAGCCCAAGCAAGATCGAGAAACTCCCTCTAGCCTACGCCTAACTCGACCCGAGCCGACGAACCTAAAACCAGCCCTAGATTCAACACCACAAACCACCCCAGGAAACCGTACCACCGCCCTCCCCCACAACATCCAACAGCCGCAGCCCGAAGAGCCGCTCCCGTCGGACGGACCCCATTCCAGCAACATTGACTAAAATAAGTGACAATTACAACAAGGTAAAATTGACCACTTATTATTCTCAAGTGAAAAGCAGTAGACGATATTCCAAAGCACAGAATTTGTACTGTTATTTAATATTTATGAACCGCGTTTTACACAATTATACAATCATCCTAAATTTACCAACTTTCATGCATCTACAACATATTATGAACTAATAATAATAGATAAGAAAACTATATACATATTACATACACTGCATTAAATTTACAGAACAGAAGAAGAAAAAGACTTGCATCATTATTAGTGTCCCTCCCAACTCATTAGCATCTTCCAAACAGTCTTTTTAATATCTTCCTCCGAAATCGAGCTATCTTCTCCTTCGTCGAGTAGAACCCGATAAACCTCCCACTCACG